TGCCTGATTAGCCTCAGTGGTGCTGTGTGAAGTTGTGTGTCAACTAGAGCAAGTGTTGCATCAGTACTGTTGTAAATGAATATCTACTCCAATGGTTTCTTGTATCTTATCTGGTAGATTGGTTTGTTTTTTTTTTTGTTTTTTTTCTTCTGGTTGACAAGTCTACTTATACACTCACTCAGAAATAATGAACATGACACGACTACCTTTGACCAGACCATCAAAGTCTGGCTTCATGTCTGATGCATGCAGCACAGTGGACAGATGTTTAGCCGTCCCTTGGGATCTATTATGTGCTGTAGTTCGTCATAGAAAAAGCTTGTTTGTCTCTGTAAGTGAGCTGTTGAGGCTTTTGTTTTCCTTTTAGAATGTTGCGCGCTGCACTGAGTTAGCTCAGGGTAGTTCTGTCTATATTAAACCTATGTGCTAGTGCTAATTTGTTATAGTTGTGCAAAACGTCTGGCTTGAAGCAGGGTCTCCATCTGCATTCAAATGATAAACAATGATGATAGATATTTGAAAGTTTACCTGGAAGATTGTGATGATTATCACTGACAGCTGTCTTTGGATCTATTTGCCATATTTTTAAAGTAAGACCTTACAGTCTGTTGCGATTTTCAATTGCAAAACTATATATATATTTTTAAAAAAGAACAAAGTAGTTTTGCATTACAACTTGAAAAGGGGAAAAACTGATTGCTCAATAGCAAGTTCTTTTATAGCTCGTTAAAACTTTTTTCATGGTTAAACTTGAGGCTTTGCCATTTGAAAATCTCCAGAACTTTTAATTGTCATCCTAGATTGAGTGATTTTTGAATTTGGAAGCCCATGTCCTTGGGAGGACTCTGCCTTTTCTCCTGCTGACTGGCTCATTGTAATGTAAACAAACATATAGTCAGTCTTTAATGACAGTATGCTGTAAATGTGTACAAACTGTCCTAAACACTGACATCTTCAATCTAATGCTTAGCAGAAAGATGAGAGGACTGTGGTTTTGAGGCTGTTTTACCATATCTTCTTATATTCACAGTTGGCACTCTTGATTTTTATCTTCTTCCTCTTGTAGTTATATTGCATCAGTGCTGACAGTTTCATCACAGAGAACCACAGATGTACATGTTGCTTGTCTACAGTCATTATAACTACTATAGATTCTTTACTATGATGGACAGTAAGCGGTGCATCCTCAGGGAGCTTTTGAAAGGCTTCGACTATCCATATGAATGATGTGCGTATGTACGTGTTTGTACTGAAGTCCAAGCCTGTAGTAACTCTCCTCGCTCTGTTGTATACAAGGCTTGGTGGGCATGTTGTATGACAGCCTTTTGACTTTGACAGAACATTTGCTGCCAGCACAGACCGCAGCCTGCAGCATCTCATTCATGTCTTATTATATAAGGATTTTTGTTAGCACTCTAATTTATGTCCTCTCAGCCACCCCATGCCATCCAGGTCAGTTAGTGATCAGGCTCTTTGTCCTCTCCTGAAATCAGAGTCCAGTTAGCTTCCTAATGTCCTGAATAAACTAAAAATATTAGCCTCATGCTAACTAGCAGAGGCCAGTTTTGTTGTGGCTTGTGGTTGATATTGAGCTTTGTATTTTTCCCATGTACAGTACTGTTGCAAGAAGGAAGTGGGAGTACTAATGAAATATGGTCAGTTAAAGGCAAACACACTCATATCTGACTAAATAGTTGTACTTTTCACATCTTTGATTAAATTAATTTCTATCTTTGTCTACGGGCTGAATTCCTGAGTTTCATAACTCAAAGAACAAGCTTTAACAGCAGCAACCTCTATCCTGTGATTACTTATTACTAGTGGTGCAACGGATCAAAAATCTCACGGTTCGGATTTGATCACGGTTTTAAGTCACAGATTGGATCAATTGGATCAAGACAAAAAATTAACATTTACTTATTCACTTATTGAAGTATTTTTTGCCTGTTAAAAACATTCAACTCAAGACTCATTCCACGCAATTATTAAAAAAAAAATTATGGTACAATATAGGGCAGTATAGGGCTTTGTATCTACCACTCAATTCAATTCAGTTTTATTTATAAAGTGCCAAATCACAAAAACAGTCGCCTCAAGGCGCTTTATATTGTAAGGTAGACCCTACAATAATACATACCGCTCATTATATCGCACTCCGCTGTGATATAATGAGCTGTCATGGTCACGTAGCTTTCCGTTGCCCATTTATAGTAGTTGGGCAACAGAAGATGCCTGGGACAGTTCAGCCATAACTTTAAACTTTTCCTGCTCATACATGCTTGGAACGATCTTGCCACTAAAGTGGATGCGCAACGGGATATCATAGCGTGGCTCAAGCACGTTCATCATAGTTTAAACCCCTTGTTTTGCACAACGGAATACGGCCTCCAGTCTGCAGCTAAACACCCCAGTAGCTTTTGTAATGACTTTAGCCCGGTCGGACTGGGCAGCAAAGGGCTGCTTAAATACTGCAATTTCCTCTGCTCCTCCACTTGGACGGCTAGCGCTGGCCATAACTATCCCTTGACAGACCCACCACGCACACCATACACATACTTTTTTTTCTTCTTTTTCGAATCTTCGGATCACGTGCGTGCCGAACCGTGGAGTGGGATCGGTTCGGATTACGGATCATCCGTTGCACCACTGAATCATTTTTCTTCCAAAAAAATGTTTTTCCTGGATGTCTTGAGTGGTCCTTTTTAAGTCATGCTATAATACATGTAATTGGTCAGGGCCCAAAAGATGAGTTCATGACTTCATGCTCCTTCTAAGGTTATTTGAAACTTGTTGTGATTGGTTGTGATGGTTCACATGTTGTCAGGATTCACACTTTATGGGGACACTGTGACAACTCAGGCTTCTAATCACTGTGTTTCCTTTAATTTAGGTTAAGATTAAGATCAGAACACAGTTCAGTTCACAGAAGTTGAGAAACTTTTCTATGCAACCGGGATGTTGTGTTTTGGTGTCTCTGTTCCTTCATTGGTATCTGAAGCAGAGTCTGCCAGCGTCCCCCTGGATGACCTGGAAGAAGGAGGGTTTATTTGAGCTTTTTGGTTATTTTGCACCAGAAAGCATCATGTTGCAAGACCTTAAAAAATGGATCATGTCTTTAGTTTTTGGCCGAATTTGAATCATTGTCAGTTTTACAGTTTTCTTCTCAGCCTCTGCCAGAGCAGCACATTTTTTGAAACTATTGGTTTTTCTTCGGGCATTCCAGGCTGTCCATGCGCACATTTGTTTTTTTTTTTAAAATGGATGTTTCATTGGTTTTGTTTGTATTTTTATAGATTGTTCGCGAACTACCTGAACAACTGAATTGGCTAGTACACCAGCCTAACTGACACTAATGAAAATCTTAGCATGTTAGCTTGGTGTATGTATGAATATTTACTTGTTTGCAGAGTTAGGGTATCGTGCTTATATCAAAGGATGACAGCAGATCTTTGAGCAGTGTGCATCATAGATGCTAATGTAACCAGAGGACCACAAAAACAGGGTTAGTTTGCAGATGTGAAACTTTGAGAAAAAGTTTAGCCCCATAAGAGGTTTAAAAAAAATAAAATAAAATAAAAAAATAACATCACCACACCCACATTTGTGGCCACCCTACAGATCTGTACCTCTGACAGCCAAAAACAAATCCTGAGTGTGCTCTTCCAAACATGTGCTCCTGGGTGTGGTGCAGAAAAGTAGTCTCAAGTGTGACTTCTGCTGCGGCTTGTTTTTGTTGCTTGAGAAGTTAGTTTGTTAGATTCTTTTTTTTAATTGTTATTTTAACATGCAATCAGCAGCCAGCACACACAGCAGTTGACATTTCCTCAGCTTCCTCCGACTGTGTCAATAGCTCGCAGCTGCAGAACCAGCTCCATTGTTGTCGGTGCCGCTGTGTATGTGTGTGTGTGTGGGTTTTGTGTTTTGTTTGTTTTTTTGTTTTTTTTTAAAAAAGTCGTGTGTGTGTTTGAGATACTTTGATGGTCTTCTGGCAGGTAGGAGTGCCGCTTGTTTGTGTACTGTAACCATGCTTGAACTGAAGTCTAAAGTGTCTCCTATGCTGGGAAAATGAGGCTGTCTGCTTTGGCTGCAGGAAAATGAACTCGTAGAGAGCTAAAACTGTAACAGGGGATGTTGTTTTTTTTCTTTTTTTTTCTATTTGCATGCGCTTACTATCAAAAAAAAAAAGAACTCTTGACCTGCATGACCTTAGTGCACGAACACGCTCGCACACAAAAACTTGTAAATGTGCTTCCTGTGCCTTAAATTCAAACTGGAATGAGAATGCTTAATTTAAAGCCAATACTGACATTACACTAATATAGGTTGTTTTTATATATGTGTGTGTGTTTGTTACTTTTAAAAATAATTGTTTTAAGATGGGGTTATTTGATCTCTTATATGATTTTAAAGATTTTCTTTTTTTGCTTTCCAAGCTGAAATTCTTGGAATAATTCAGAGCTTGAGAGAAATGATTTCTGGACAAATCACTACATTTCATTAACAAACCAGTAAATTTGAAAATAATTTCGAGCGATGTCAACACACTGTTGAAGCACATGGCTATCAACACAAGCTCGTGCAATTGGCTGAGAAGTGAGAGGAGGGAGTGAGCGGTGACGGCACCAGCAGCATGATGACTGACATTAAAAATGATCACAAATAAAGTGTTATGAAATGTAACTGTCCTATGAAAAAGTGTTGTGGTTAATCACTTTTGCTTTCTAAATTTGGAGCTTTCTGAACACGTCTAATGTGACTTCACCCCCCC